CGAATACGCAACGAAATATTCACGGGTCCACAAAAATCTACGCCGACTATTAAAAAAGGACGCAGAGCTCTCACCCTATCGGTGGGTAAATTCCCCATTATCTGAGTCATAAGCTTTGGTTTATAGCGGTAACAATGAACACATTTGCGAACTATTCTGCTACACTCTTCTTTGGCATTTATTAGCCAGATATTTTCCCTGGAAAGCGCTATTAAGGCTTTTGTGCCAGCACACAGTGGGGCAGAATGGAAATTTTTTGGAAATAAATCTGGCATTTCTAAACGGCTGATCCGATCGGGAGCGTAGCCAAGGAGTATTCGAGTTTAAGTTTTGAAGATGAACCCTGCAGATGCCCCAGGGACGGCGCTGTGGCGGCTCAAAGTAGGGTACCTACGACATGTAAAATTTTTAAACTCGTGCCATTTTTTTGTTTTTCACCCAAATACAAAGATTTTTATATTTTGTGAAAGCGCTCGACATGCTTGGACATACTACTTATCTCTTATAATATCCGAGTTATAGGCATTTAAAAATTTAGTGATACAAAATTTACCATACCTTGGTCCGCCTTTTTTTGAATACCGGGCGTAATTTTGGACCAAATGGACTCAATTTTTTGTTAGTTAGACAACAAAATTTCCAATAATATACAAAAAATTTCAGATCAATATTGTTTACAGATCCAAAAATATACGTTTTTTAATTTAAAAATTCAAAAAATTTTAGATTTTTGGCGTTTTTTTGCCAAAAATGTATCTTAACTCTTTTATTAATAAAATAAAATTTTTATTAAGAACATATAACAATTTTATAGTTTTCTAAAAGGTATCTTTACGCAGAACGCTTTGGCGTAAAAAACTTGTCCTATTTTTTGAAAATGTTGCTACTGCGTCCTTCCGAATATGACCTATTTTTTATCAAAACTTCAACTTTGGGCGACATGTTCTAAAATCCCAAAGCTGGGATCAGAAAACTGAAAGCAGTTTTGGAAACCTCAATATGTTTTCTATTTACTCCAAAAGTATTTTCCCAGCCCTGAAAGAAATGTGGACCCTATGGGCAAAAAAGTAAAAAATCCCATTTTTGGGATTTTCATTCCTATTTTTGGGAATTGCGGGATGCCCTTTGACCTTTTCAATTGTTTTTTTTGCATATTCTTATTTGAAATGACAAATTTAACAAGCGTTGAAAATTTCATTGAGTTTTGTTCATAAATAAAGATTTTGTCATATATTACATATTTGTTTAATTTCTAAAACTATGATTTATATCAAAATTTTAATAGGATCGCAGATAGCTACAACAATTTAGTCCATATTTATCCCTTAATATCATTTTAGATATGGAAATTCTCGACCCTTTACAAAAAATTTCAAGCCAATATCTCAATTACATTCAAAAATATGTTCATTTAAACCTGTGTCCTTTAATTTCATCTTTTTCATATTTTAGTATTAAGTATGACAGCACATATTTAAATCTTATATTTACCTATTTTCTATTTGTTTGCTTATCTTTATAATTGAAAGGTCCTATTATGCTTAAATTTTCAAAAATTTATAACTATTTTTTACCTAAATTTTTTCGACAGATCATTTCGTTCTGTTTCGTTTATGATCATGTAGGTAAAAATATACAGGTAATGATAATTTCGATTCATTCACTAATAAGAAATATCAATGACTGAATTACAGGTTATAGTAATATAGTCCTAAATGTTAATAGGTAGACAATTCGTAATTTTTTACTTTGGAATACCTGTATCGGAAATGACAAGAATTGGTATATAAGTAAACTTCTCAGATTTTAAGTACCATATTTAATAAATCTACAATGAAGATTACATTAAAGTACGAAGAGTTGTGTTCCGTTTTATGGAGTATATCTTCAAAAGGGCCAGAAAGAATTGAAGACATTTCAAATTATATAAAAACTACATATAGTAGAAAAGTAGACAAAACAGGCATATCAAAAATTGAAAACTTTTTAAAACTTTTTGATGTAAAAAGTAAGTCTGTGGATGGAAATCAAAAGAAATTTCGATTAAAATTTTGTAGTTGGATGGAAACTACTACGGAAATCTCAACTTACAACACATCAACAGGAGCGCCTTGCAAGTCATACGAAGACTTATGTTCAAGGTAAAAAAAAAGAGGGTCACACAAAAACTTTTTTCAATCTCAAATGAGGAAATTGCTGATACATTTAACGAAATGCTGAAAAAGGAAAACCAACATATGGATGTCGTACATATTGCAACTATTCTTCCTAATGCATCACCAAAACGACTTAAGCGAATTGTGGAAAGTATACCAACTCCAACATCATAATCAAATTTTACTGAAGAGGAAGCAATAGCGCTTATGTTGGAACTGGGTCTCAGTCGAAATAAGTACCAAATATTAAGGAAAGCTCTGCATAAAAAAGGACACAATATATTACCATCATACAAGGCGATCCAGGAAAAAAAACAAACTATCCTACTAAATCAACAAAAAATAATGAAGAATTGAAAGAACTGAGAGCTGCGGAAAAAAGCATAATCCAAGAAGAATTTAAAGTTCAGATGGGATTAAACATCGACAAACCACTTTCAAGTTGCGGTAGTACAAATGACGGTAATACGTCGAGAAGGTTTTTTCGTGATTTTGAAATTACTTCAAAAATAACTGGAATCGACAAGGAGTTGCTTCGAAGAGTTACAACTATTTTAATGGCACTGAATAGTAAACATAAAATTAATGAAAATCGATTTGGGGAATACACATCTGAAATTTCTAAATTACTTGTATCTCTGTATCCATGGAGGGAACTAACACCAACAGTACACAAAGTATTGTGTCATGGTCAAATAATAATTGAATCGAATATTCTTCCACTTGGAGAGTTAACAGAAGAAGCCCAGGAAGCGAGGAATCGAGATTTTAAGCATGTTCAACTATTCAGCTCAAGAAAATGCTCCAGGCAATCACAGAATGAAGATATTTTTAATAGTTTACTTCTATCTTCTGATCCTGTTCTTTCAACTATGCGAAAAAGATGGATTTGTTATGAAACTCTATCATCTCAAAACAAGGAAGATTTAAAGGACTTATATTACCTTCTGGATATGTATACCGATATGACAGATTATTTTATAGAAAATAAGTAGTGTTAGGAATTAACTATATAAGTAGGTTGTAAGAATTAATTGTATTATGTTTAAGATAAACAGTTCAAATAAAAAAAGCTATTATACTAACTGATGATATTGTATTAAATTGTGTTTTATATTTCGGTGGGCGGGAAAGGTAATTTGTGTGGGGTGATTTAGGTGTTGTTGTGCGTGGCTCATAATAAAATTATAATTTTTTTATTTTATATACAATATTATAATAAAATAATTAACTAAATAATTTTTAAAAATTGTCCAAATATTTTATTCAACACCAAATGTATGTTCTGTCATACTTAATACTAAAATATGAAAAAGATGAAATTAAAGGACACAGGTTTAAATGAACATATTTTTGAATGTAATTGAGATATTGGCTTGAAATTTTTTGTAAAGGGTCGAGAATTTCCATATCTAACTAAAAAATGATATTAAGGGATAAATATGGACTAAATTGTTGTAGCTATCTGCGATCCTATTAAAATTTTGATATAAATCATAGTTTTAGAAATTAAACAAATATGTAATATATGACAAAATCTTTATTTATGAACAAAACTCAATGAAATTTTCAACGCTTGTTAAATTTGTCATTTCAAATAAGAATATGCAAAAAAAACAATTGAAAAGGTCAAAGGGCATCCCGCAATTCCCAAAAATAGGAATGAAAATCCCAAAAATGGGATTTTTTACTTTTTTGCCCATAGGGTCCACATTTCTTTCAGGGCTGGGAAAATACTTTTGGAGTAAATAGAAAACATATTGAGGTTTCCAAAACTGCTTTCAGTTTTCTGATCCCAGCTTTGGGATTTTAGAACATGTCGCCCAAAGTTGAAGTTTTGATAAAAAATAGGTCATATTCGGAAGGACGCAGTAGCAACATTTTCAAAAAATAGGACAAGTTTTTTACGCCAAAGCGTTCTGCGTAAAGATACCTTTTAGAAAACTATAAAATTGTTATATGTTCTTAATAAAAATTTTATTTTATTAATAAAAGAGTTAAGATACATTTTTGGCAAAAAAACGCCAAAAATCTAAAATTTTTTGAATTTTTAAATTAAAAAACGTATATTTTTGGATCTGTAAACAATATTGATCTGAAATTTTTTGTATATTATTGGAAATTTTGTTGTCTAACTAACAAGAAAAAATTGAGTCCATTTGGTCCAAAATTACGCCCGGTATTCAAAAAAAGGCGGACCAAGGTATGGTAAATTTTGTATCACTAAATTTTTAAATGCCTATAACTCGGATATTATAAGAGATAAGTAGTATGTCCAAGCATGTTTTTTCAAGATCTCGTCGAGCGCATTCACAAAATATAAATCTTTGTATTTGGGTGAAAAACAAAAAAATGGCACGAGTTTAAAAATTTTACATGTCGTAGGTACCCTACTTTGAGCCGCCACAGCGCCGTCCCTGGGGCATCTGCAGGGTTCATCTTCAAAACTTAAACTCGAATACTCCTTGGCTACGCTCACGCCAAATTTTATCCCGATCGGATCAGCCGTTTAGAAATGCCAGATTTATTTCCAAAAATTTTCCATTCTGCCCCACTGTGCAGCATGGCAATTCTCGAGGTGCAGATTATTCAAATATCGAGTAACAAAAGTTGTTCTCTTTGGCAATAATAGTGGGAATTTAGTATTATAAGGCAACGGTGCGTTTAGCAACCTCCCACCTACCCTTATTAGTGAAAATGTTCTCTTTTTCTCAGTAAAATTGTGAATGAATGGTGTAAGCCTTTGAATATTTGATGGCAACACCAGAGATTTCTGTAATTTATGAATCTCCTCAGAAAAACTTTCCCTCTGGATAACTTCTACTAATCTATAAAAGGCCCAATTCATTTCCTTAGCAGTAGGGTGTTTTGATTTGGAAATTTCCTGCAACAATCAATGAATCTTAGCACATAGCATGTGATTCTTAAAATTTTTTTATATAATGAATGATCTTCGATCAACTTCAAGAAAACATTCTCCAAATTCATAGATTTCTCTACTGCTGCAAGAACATTAGTCTTTCTCTTTTCTAAAGACACTTGATCCTCTGTTAACTCAAAGTGATTATTAACAGGCCACATTGAGTTATCATTTAAAAGGAATGAAGGACCATCAAACCAAATCGATTGTTTCAAATCGTCTACATCACATCCTCTTGATACAAGGTCAGCTGGGTTGTGCCGTGTAGGCACATGGCGCCATGAAACATTTTCTGACCATTCTTGTATCTCGGCAACTCTATTCGAAACAAATGTTGCGAGAGTAGATGGATGAGTTTTTATCCAATGTAAAGTGATTTCTGAATCTTTCCAGAAATATACACTCTCGATTTCAAAGCTGATCATTCTTTTAACTCGAATCCACAATTTTGCTAATAAGTGTGCTGCACACAACTCAAGTCTCGGAAGAGATTTTGTCTTGAGTGGTGCGATTTTCGATTTTGCTGTTAGTAATCGACAAGAAACATTATCTGAAATAGAACTTCTTATGTAAATACAGCATCCATAAGCTCGAATTGAAGCATCTGAAAAGCCATGAATTTGAACTGATGCTGAAGAAGTGGTGTGGACGAATCTTGGGATTTCGATTGAATCAATTTTCAACAAATTTTCCTTAAAATTGTCCCACGTAGTATTGAGACGCAAGGGTATTGATTCATCCCAGTCTAATTTTTGAATCCAAAGTTCCTGAAGTAACATTTTGGATTTAGTTATTAAGGGGCATAAAAGTCCGAGAGGATCAAACAATCTTGAAGAAACCGACAAAATGTTTCTTTTTGTCGCCTTAAGATTCTTAAAATCATTCTCCAAATTAAACTTAAATGCATCATTCTTCGGAACCCAATGTATGCCTAAAGCTTTAGCTGAATCGGAATCATTTTGTAACAATTTTTCTGTTCTATCAGAAATATTAAAATCGGGGTGATTAGAAAACCATTTTGTTAAATTAAATCCAGCTGAACTCAATATTTGAGTCACTTGATCTCGAATAGTTATAAGTTTATCAAAACTATCGGCACCGGTTAGCAAGTCATCAACATAAAAATCACTGCGAATAACATTTGCCCCGATAGGCAAAGTCTCTTTGTAAAGATCGCTTAGATAAATGAGACATCTGATCGCTAAAAATGGAGCGCTAGACGTTCCATATGTTATGGTGTTCAACCGAAAGGCTTGTAGTGGATCAGAAGCACTTTGTCTCCAAAGGATCATTTGAAAATTTCTGTCATTTTCGTCAACCAAAACTTGACGATACATTTTCTCTATATCTGCAGTGATTACAAATTTATGAAATCGAAAACGAATTAGAATCGCATATAATTCTTCTTGCACAGTTGGCCCAACCATCAACAAATCATTGAGCGAAGTTCGTGAAGAAGTACGACTCGAAGCATCGAAAACTACTCTAAGTTTAGTAGATGTACTTTGAGGTCTTAAAACACATTGGTGCGGTATAAAATAAAGAGGGAAAATTGGTATTTGATTGCTTGCAATAGACATATGTCCTAAATCAACATACTCTTTCATAAAATCGTGATACATTTCTCTCATGTTTTGATAATTTGATAGTTTGCGCTCTAGCGCTAAAAATCGACGTTTAGCCGTATCGTAAGAAGAACCTAAGAGATTTGTATCCGATTTGAAAGGAAGTGAGACTTGAAATCGCTCTGACGGTAAACGTCGAACTGAATTCTTAAAATTTTCCTCACATTTCTGTTGTTCCTCATTGTACACTAGTTGTTTTTCGTGGGAAACTTCTTCAAGTTCCCAAAACTTTTTAACAATTGAATCAATAGCTTCCTCATTTTCTATTATGTTGCTAATATTACATACCTTTGAACATGAGCCCTTTGGCTGATTATATCTTTCAGCCACAATCCAACCAAGAGATGTTTTCTGTAGTACTGGAAGACTCGGATTAGACTTAATTTGTCCAACACATAAAAGTTCAAAGAACATTTCACCACTGATTAACAAATCAACTTTTTGTGGTTTATAAAATTCAGGATCTGCTAAGGAAATATTTTTTGGAATATTCGAGTTTGTTGTGCAAATCCTGCGATCAGGTTGGATGTTCGTAATTGAACTTAGTACCCAAAACTTTGAAAAGAATTGGGTAGAATTAACCCTCGACATAACGGAGATCTCTACATTCGATTTAGCTATAGAATTTACTTCACCTATGCCTGTTAAATTCAATCTGCCTATTTTTCGTTTCATCCTTAGCTTTTGAGCAAGTTCCTCGGTAATCAGATTTGTTTGAGAACCGGAATCTAATAGTGCTCTTGCCAGTACATAATCGCCAGAACTGCACTTCACCTTTACCACTGCTGTGGCAAGAATTACATTATCATCGGATGATGAGTGATTAACTGCATTGTTTAAAGTAGTTGGTGCATTTGGCACAGAATCTACATGAGAAACGGTATTAGCACTTTGCGATTCAGAACTATAACGATGCAATAGTTTATTATGTGCTCCACCACAAACTCTGCATTTCTGAGCATTACACCTTGCTACTGTATGACCTTTTTTAAGGCAATTTATGCAGGCAGGTATAGCTTTTACAAAGTCAAATCTTTGAACAACTGGAATCGTTACGAAATAGGAGCAATTGTATATATTGAGGTCAGCAGATTTGCAAAATAGGCATTTTTCTACAGATTGCTTAGGTTTTGTAACAGCTAATGATGTCTTTGAAGTTTTCTTAGGCAGAAATTCATTTTTATTTTTGTATATTTTGGGCTTTGCACCCGAAGATTCATCAGCAGAAATATGCTGGTACCTTTTATTTAGCATAGCCTCGCAGTCAGACCACAATGGGAGCCTTTCGAAATCAAGCTGTTCTTCCCATTTGGATTTAGTGACTGGATCAACTTTCGACATCACTAAATGAATCAATATTGCATTAGATATCTTTTTATCATCACCAATTGACAACAATGAATCATAAATAGCGGAAACTGTGTCTATCATGCTTCTCAAAGCTGGAGCTGAAGGTTTACTAACCTCAGGAAGATCAAATAATTTTGAAATATTTTTCAGAAAGATTAGACAGTCATTGTCGTAAACTTTCTTCAAACTCGCTAATGCCTTGGGGTAATTATCTTCAGTTACTTGAAAAGCCTTAACTGTCCCTAAAGCTTCATCAGATATCAGGTGATTGAATTTCTCTATATCTGTTAAGGTTGGGTCATTATGTACCAAATTCTCAAATAAGCTCATGAAATTCTTATAGTCGGAATATTTTCCGCTGAATTTAGGAAGTCTCATATTTGGAAGCCTAGAATTATGCGGTTGCATAAACGAAGTTTCCTGAAAACTTAGTCTTCTATTCTTGGCCTGAAGACTCAATAATAAAGACTTCGTGGTTACACATAAATTTTCAAGCTCGGATCTGTCGTCATTTGTTGGATCTAAAATATCCAGTTGAGACTGAAATTCCATAGCTTGATCGATATGATCTTTTAAAATTTCCAATCGACATTCGATCTCAAAGGGATTGAAAGAAATAGTTTTTTCCAAAATTGATTTCTTTATTCTTTCAATATTTTCAACTACTTTGGCTTTTCGCTGCATCAGTTTATCTAAATCATCTGATACAGGATCTTCTTGATGTTTCTTTTTTGGTGCCATATCGAAAAACTTAAATTGTCCCAACAAAATTAAAAAAATCAAAATTTTTCTCAAACAATTTCTCTTTAATAAGGATAAAACTTAGAAAATTCTCAACGTGATTAAATAAATTATAATACGCTCAAATGATTTCCTCGAAATACTCTTTTATATAATTTTAAAAACTAAATGTCTAAAATGCTACAATATGGAAATCGTTTGGACTAAAATTGAAATATAAAATTGTTCGGATTATAGAAATTCTTAAGCACCGTTAAATTTAATTATTAATACGACTCAAATATTCACAATAAAATTATTATCTCGTCAGTAAAATTCGCATAAATTTAAATTGATTGCGCACTAAATTCGCGGATTCTTTTGTTAATTTATTTTAGCAGAATAAAATTACTTAAAGGTTGTCACTTTGTTTCAATTGATATAATTTTATATAATTTTAAAAACTAAATGTCTAAAATGCTACAATATGGAAATCGTTTGGACTAAAATTGAAATATAAAATTGTTCGGATTATAGAAATTCTTAAGCACCGTTAAATTTAATTATTAATACGACTCAAATATTCACAATAAAATTATTATCTCGTCAGTAAAATTCGCATAAATTTAAATTGATTGCGCACTAAATTCGCGGATTCTTTTGTTAATTTATTTTAGCAGAATAAAATTACTTAAAGGTTGTCACTTTGTTTCAATTGATATTATTACAGAAAACCTCGTTCATAAATGTCTATCCGTTTGTAGCAACCAGACTTTGGTAATAAATAAATATATATATATATATATATATATATATATATATATATATATATATATATATATATATATATATATATATTTTTTTTTTTTTACCTTTTTCTTTATATTTGCTTTATTATAATTTATTACCAAGACTTTATAAAAATCTATTCTAATAGAATTTAGAAATTTGATTTTTTATTTTAACTCACAAAAAAATGATTGTTCACAAATATGTATGGAAATAATTTCTCTATGTGTATTGCGAACAATCTATGTGTGGTTGATCTGGTAGCTCTAATTGAATTATATTAGTGGCCACTCTAAATTATTAGTTCGTAGTGGCAACACGGAACGAACGGAATGAAACAACAAGATGTGGCAACAATAAGAATTTTTTTTTTTTAGTGAAAGAAGAAGAAAATAAATAACAAAAGAAAACAATAAATTGTTAATTATTTTAATTTCTTTTTTAAAAATTATTAAAATTATCACTCGCGAAAAGTGCAATAAATAAAATAAAAAAAAAAACGAATTTTGTATTTACCGACGGTTTACGGATATATTAAATCGTATTAATAATTTAGTGCCGATTTTTATTTAATATATATGCGTGTGTATGATTTTTTTTTTGTTTTTATAATAACACTCGCGAAATTCGTTCAATAAAGGCGCTTTGTTCACAATAAATATATGTATGTATTTCAAAAGAAGCGTAAATAATATTTTTTTTGTTGTGCTCGCAATTAAGCGGAAAAATTTCTAAATAAATTATAGAATAATCCTGAATAAATTACAGGTTTTAATTAAACATAATATTATTTACGCTTTTTACCTCAGTTTCGGACAATCCAGAATCGCTACTTCCCTGTCTGTGTGATGGACGGCAATTTCGGCAACGGCAACGACGAGGCATTTAGCAGCAGATATTGAAGTTGTTGGAACTTGCGTATATTTTTAATAAACGAATAAATCGCGCACAACACTTCACACAAAATGTTTTTATTTTAATTATTTTTTAATTTTGAAATAAATTATCAAAATTTTATTTTAATTTTTATAATTTAAAATAATTTAAATAAATAAATTATCAAAAAAATTAAAAAATAGTTTTTCTTATTTTTGAAGTAAATTATCAAAACTTTTGTAAAAATTTTTTAATTAGTCCCTGCTCGGGCGCCAAAATGAATAACCTTAATAATTTTTAAGGTTTTCAATAAAAAATTCAAATAAATTATGAATTTAAAAAAAAATGGCTAATTAAAAAATTTTTTATGCGGAAAAATTTTGTAAGTAAAAACGACTGTTTTGTTTGATATATAAATGCAAACTGGAATTATTTATTAGTTATTTTCATTTAATTCTAATTTTTTTTGTTTTCAGCAAGAACAGTTATTTTTAACATTTTTAGATTTAGAGTTCAGGGTTGTCATTAAATTTAATTTTTACTTTTTAGATTTATGTTTTAGGGTTAAGTTTTAGTTTTAATAATAATAATATTTTCCAATAAAATTCATAAAAAAAAAAACAATTAATAACTGGGTTATTATTAAAAAAAATGAATTTAATAATAAAAATAATAAAACAATTTGGAGAAAACCATCTTGGGCCAAAAAACTCCAAATGCTCCAACACAATTTTTATATATCTATTTACATATATGTATGTATATAGACATATGTATAATATAATTATTTAATTTTTTCTCTATTTCTTATATTTTAATTTTTTTTCAATAGTTTATAATTATTCATTTCTTGTATTCTATAGAAAACTTTTATTCTTTTTTTTTTATATACTTCTTTTTTTTGCGTATTTTTCTTTTACTCCCTTTTTGTTGTTTCAATTATTTGATATTGTTGGCACAGTAATGATCTTAATTCCTTATCACCAATTACATCATCTTCTGTATTTTCTGGACTTTTATTTTAATATTAGAATTGTTGTCTTGTTTTGTTCTTTATCTTTTTGCATTTCTTTATCAACAGCATTGATGACAGCAGTATCTGCCATTCTTATTCATTCAATCATAGGCCAAGCCGTCTAGAGATTGGGGCAATGAGGTGCAATATGAATGAATCGCTTAATCACGACTTGATTAAAATCTCTGAATGGGGTCGTGTAACAGAGTCGATTTTAACGCCCGCAAGACTCAATGTTGTTTTTTAACACATAAACGCTTGGCAGATATTGTTGTTCCCTCTCTATATATGGGTGGTGTAAATATTAAGGTATCAGAAACTCTTGATGTTCTGGGCATGAAAATTCAGTACGATGTCCGCTGGACTAAACACATTTTTCAAGTGTGAAAAGAAGCATTCAAGTGTCTCGGTTTTTTGAAACGGTGTAAGACTTACTTCACTCCATCTGATCTTACTATTTCCACCACTTATATCCGACCGAAAATGGAATACAACTCTCCTGTATGGGCCGGAGCTTCGAAGTCTATTTTGGAGCTACACGACCGCGTACAGGGAGGGCGAAGATACTTATCGGTGACAGTAGGGTATCCAACTCTATTGATTCACTAGAGCACCGTCGCAACGTGGGGTGTATTTCACGGTTCTATCGATACTACAATGGAATGTGTTCCTTTGAAATTAGGGAACTTGTCCCTGATACCCGTATATTCTTGCGTAACACACGTCTTTCTTCAAGAACACACCCATTTGTGGTAGATTGGCCAGTGGACCGCACAACACACTACAGGGAAAATTCATTCTTCAGCCGCACTGTTCGTATGTGGAATAAACTTCCTGCAGAAGTATTCCCTGCCACTTTCTATATAAGAAGATTAAAATCAAATGTCCACAAACACTACTCCCTCTATCCTCCTTCCCACAACCTATTTTCTCAGTTCCCCCTGAGTGCTGGTCCAATTATACAAAAACAAAAAAAAAAAAAAAATCAACCTCGAAGGTCCAGGTATCTCAAAAGAAGCCCCGAAAAGCGAGGAAATAGAGGCTAGACAGTGGAAAAAGAAAAGAGCAGCCATCTTACGCCAAAGTTGACAGAAGAAGACACCGGGACGATCTCTGCTATGCAGTTTACGATGCCGGTAATCCGACAGGCAAACTTCCAATAGACCAACAGAGTATAATAGAAGACCTGGTCAACAATATGATAATGGACCACGCAATCGCTTCAAAGGGCAAACAACCAATAGAGAGCGTGAGCTGCGAGTTCAGCATGGGCGTGATGTGTTAGCACCCTAAGGAACTTGGTGGAAAGTATCCCTCCTCCCTGGGACGGCGCTTTGCTGGGACTGGAAAAGAAGAGCGAGCTTCCGGTGCTCTTAAAGTCCACTGTCTACATAAAAGTATGGGGCAGTAAACAGGCTAATGAACGTATACTGGAAATTCTTGGTGGTCAAAATGCTGAGCTGGCCGTGGAAAAATGGGACGTCTTTTACAGGAAAGAAGAACCTGAGGGAACTTTATTTGCCAAGAATAAAGGTAGGGCTTAATTCGCATCTAAAGCTGTCATATTCAAAATTGGGAAGGTGCCGATTGAAAGGGCTGTTACAACAAGCCTCGAAAGACCACACCATCAGTAGCAACTACTGTGACGTTAAGGAGTCAAATCCTAAAAGCGAGGAAGGTACCACTAACTCGCCAAAAGAAGGTGCAGCTGCCCTTCCCAAAATTGGGGAGGCGCCGATTGAAAGGGCTGTCAAAACCGGCCCCGATAAGGACACTACTGGTAATTTTGAGGAGGAAATTACTTACTCGCCAAAAGACAGAACTGCAGTGCTGTCCAAAATTGGCAAAGTGTCGATTAAAAAGACTGCTCTTCCTACGCCTGATAAGGCACCGCAGTGCCATCTATAGTTCCCACTGCATCAATAGCCACTTCAGGTTACCCGGAGGAGTCAAATCCAACGAGCGGGGAGGTGATCACTAGCTCGCTGGAAGACTGTGATTTAGGTTATCCAAATAAACCTCCATCGTAGTGAGACGGCTACTAACGCTTTGATGGCTAAAATTAACACATGTAAAATACATATAGCTTTAATACAGGAACCTTGGACGATTCGCAACAAGGTTTCTGGATTAAATCACTATTTAACCGGGCACGGCGTAAAAAGACCCCAGTATACTGGGATGAGTATCGTAGTAAACTTGGTGAATATAAGAAAATTGTTCGTAAAGCCAAACGAGACTCCTGGAAACTTTTCTGTGAACAGGTAGACAGCGTAAATGACGTATCGAAGATAAAAAATTCCTATCCAAAACTCATGTCCAACCGGAATCTATGGTCGAT